ATCCATTCAAATTTAAGAAGCAAATATCATTTCTAGTGGAATTACGCTGATTAATCTCAAATCAGCTATTACTGTAGGAACACCTACTTCTCATCTGTGTATGTCTTCGTATGTAAAACGGGGAATTTTATTCACTAATATAAAAGAAAAATAAAGAAATGGTAGGAGAACGATAAATACAAAACAATAGAATGCTAACAATACAATAAGAAAAAATGAATTTATAAAAAATACAAAAAACCAGAAATAATACTGCTCAATTCCATCGGCCCATCATGTGATTCTTCATGTGTGATTTCAAACGGAGTTTCCGCAGGAATTCTTTACCGCATACAATGCAGCTGATTTGGGCCTTGTGATGAGTCGTCACGTGAATTGTCATATTTTGTGATTGAGAGAAATTTTTCGTGCACGCAAAACAACTGTTCCATTCCTCACCCTGTGTCTCTTCATATGTGTACGCATGTCCGATGACCGAGTAAAACCCTTCCCGCGTGTTCCGAATTTTTACGGCTTATCACCTTTGTGAGTTCTGTTATATTTGGACAAACTCAATGGATGCACAAAACCCTTCCCGCATGTTTTGCATTTGTACGGCTTATCACCTGTGTGAATCCTCATATGTTTACTCAGATGCGATAACTGAGTAAAACCCTTCTCGCACATTTCGCATTTACACGGTTTATGTTAATTTGAATTTCAATCATATATATTTTTCAAATTAAAATATCCATGGACAATACTTCCGGTACAAATAATGGAACAAAGAGAATTTCAAGTAAAAAAAAAGGAAAAAGATAAGAGATAAAACTGACAAGGGTTGAAATGATTTGCAAAAGGAAAAAAAATAAATGAACAAATGAGTAAAATAAAATGATGGTAAGAGAAATAAATACAATCAAATTGTATTAATTTAATGAAAATATTTGATGTATACGGAATTTTTGCATTTAATTTTTCATTTCTTCCTTATTAATATTTCGCGTTATTTTTCTGCTTAGCTGAAAAAAAAGAAAAGAGAAAATGAATGAAAAAGAAAAGGAAAAAAAATTAATTAATTAAACTTATCTCTGTTTTTGATAAGAGTTCTTTTTTTCTTCAATTCCATTCCATCTAAACAGTTTTATCACATTTTTGACATTTTTTTTTTTTTTTTGACAATATTAAACAAAAAATGATGAGACATTTTCTTTCTGGTGAATTTTCTTCTTTTGTCCAAATAAAAAAAAAGCATTTCCGTGTAACTAATTTGTCAACCCAAATGGAAAAAGGCAAAAAGAAAAAAAAGTGAAAGAAAACGATATAATGAATTATAGATTTATGAATAATATAATTAAAGATGAAAATGATTGAAAAGAATTTTCATTTATGTTTACCTTTTCTTACGTTCCACTTCATCTTCAATCTCTGGAGATTTTTTCAATAATGCTTCCGATGGAAGATTATCGGAATCAACCTGATCCAGAATATTTGTTGTTTTATCTTTCAAGTTATCAGTTGCACTCGATATTTTTCTTTTAATCATTTCCGCTGCAAATTTTGAAATAATTTTGTTTGAGTTAAAAAGAAAAAAACTGCAGTAAACTAATTTCAATATTCTCAACTAAAGAAGTCAGTGTGCGTGTGTGTGTATTTTAAAAAGATATTCGAATTAATATTCAGAAATTAATTGCTTAATACTTTAGTCAATAAAATTACTTTTAATTAATTAAATAGGAAGCGAGAAAAAGAGAAACAAAAATTAAACGTTACTATGCTACAATATGTATTGTATTTAATTAACTAAAAACAACCTAATTAAACCAATAAATTTATTACCATTATTATTTTTTCGCTAATTAATTCTTTTAAATATAAGGGGAAAAAAGAAACATTAATAGAAAAATGCATAAATTAGGATGTTTTAAGTATACTATAATATAAAATTTAAAAAAACGATCGAAATATTGCTTACAATTATATACAAGTTACTCAGTAATTCATTATATGTTATTCCTTTTTATTTTTATGCACTATAATTTATGAATTTATCAGCCTCATTTATTATTATCAGAAACTTTCAGATATCAGGAATATCTGAAAATTTCTGAAATTAAATGATGTATCGATTGGAACTTTTCTCATGATTTCATTTCACAATTAATCATAATTTTCATGATAATTATTATTTATTACTTATAATAATTATTATTTATGCTCATTAACAATAACACTATGCAAATTGTGTCACTATTATTGTTCAAAAGAATGACATTAAATTTCAAACAGCTCCGACAAATAATTAATATTAATTAATAAAAATTCACGGTATCTTCTAATAAAAATATATTAACTAATAAAATCAATATTACTGAATCACTACACTGATATCATCAAAAAAAAAAGAAAAAATTGACACAACCATTTTTATTTCTCATTTTCATGATTTGCAAACATTCCAAAACTCTAATATTCAAATAAAATTTTATAATTCTACAAATTCAATGAGTTAGAAATGTTCAATACAAATGATAGTAAAAATTCGGTAACAATGAAATTGAAATTTATTTCGGGAAAACTATTTTTTAATTTGCAAAAAAAGAAAATGTTTTCTGTAAAGAAAATAAAAATAAAAAAAAGATTTATTTCACCTTATGTAAAAAGAAGGAGGGGAGGAAAAAAAACAGAGTTAATCAAGATAAATAGTCCTTATTTTCCAATTTTTCATTTTCTTTTCTTTTCTTTTTCACTTCAATTTTAGCTTGTCTTAGTTAATTTATCGTCTTTCTTTTCATCCCTTTTAATTTTGAACCTAAATTTCTTCACTTTTTTGCTATTCTTTCTTTTTTTCAAGGATTTGCTCATTTAAAATGTAATTTATGGCAATTTTTTACATGCAAAACGGCCATCATTCTATTATTTTAAGAAATAATCACTCAAAATATATTATTAATTAAAATTTGATATGAATAAATACAATGAAAATGAAAATAAAAACTGAGTTTTTTTCTTCTTTCAAATTTTCCGATAATAATTAAAATGTTAAAATACCAAGAAAACATATATATATCTATATGTATATACATTTTTTTTGTTTTACTTTTATTCATTCTTTTGCAATAATTATTTAGGCGTGTGAAAACTAATAATTATTTGAGTGGGAAATTTTCGAATTTAAATTTTAAATGCAAGAGAGAGAAAGAATTGAATACTTACCTGCTGAAGAAGCAGCCTCTTTTGCTTTTGTTGCAACCTTATCAATGGCATCCTTTGAAATTTTAAATTTTAAAATAAGAATGATTTAATTTCGCATTAAAAAAATATATTTTAATAAATATGAATGAAACTAATTTTAATTAAAAAAGGATAGAAATGATATATTAGTCTTGTTGTATGTATGCATTACTGTATGCATATCTATCGTGTTGTAACTTCAATCGAATACTTTGAAAAGAATTAATTTTTAAATTGTAGGAAAGAAAAATACTAAAATTATCCTAAAAATATTGCACTATATTGTAAAAAAAAAAAGACAAAAACAAAGACAAAGAAAGAGAAATTAAAATAATTTACAATCCATTAATAAAAATGAAAAAACGAACCGGATGAAAATTAAAAGTATTAATAGTTCCCATTTAGATTGATTCGTATATTTTTAATATACTGACGATCGAATGATATTTTTAGCAGAAAACACAGCTGACTTACTGGAAGAAAAAAGTGAAGTAAATAAAAAGGAATATTTCATTTGCCAAAGAATGCTAAATGCAAATTTCGAAATATTTAATATTAAACAATAATTCAAATACTCAATTACAAATGAAGTAACCAGATTTGAAATGAAATATCAAAGATCGATCATACTTGAAGTAGCTAAATTTCATTTTAGATGCTAAAATTTCATACACAAGCAATTGTATTTCAACATATAATGATTATTAATCAAATGAAAATGAATTCTTGGAGAAGTGTAAAAAAAAAGAAAACGAAATGAATTAATATTTTCAAACATTTATCGTTAAAATTTGTTTTCTTACATACATAAATATTATGTTTAGTGAAATGATTGAATTTAATTTTCAATTTCACTTTATTTCATTTTGATTCCGTGAAAGATTCCCGTTCCTTCCTGAATTTAACTATCAGAATACTAGTTCCAGTTTAATTCGCCACCTGATAGTGTCCTCGATATGAATCATTCTTACGTATTTTACCTAACAGTATTGTATTTTAAAGTAAAGTCAAACTAAAATAAATTTTGTATGAAAAAAAAAAAAGAGGAACAGAACAAAAAGGTTGACTACGAAAGAAAGATGAATTTAGCAAGAAATGAATCAATGAAAGAATCGACAATTTCTACATCTATTTGTCAAATGACATCAATGAATCAATCATTAAACGAACAGAAAAGGTATGCTCGAATAATTAATCAACTAATTGTTTAAAGCGAAAACAAAAAAATAAAAGAAAAAAAGAAATCCATTCAATTTTTGAAAAAGTATTTGCAATTTTTGCATCAATTCATGTTTATATTTCAATTAAAAATATTCGCATAATTTGTAAATTCTAATCTTTAATCTTTTCATTCTGAAATAAATTGCTGTAAATTTGATGAGTAAATGAAATTTAATAAAATTCTTGCATTTTTTTTTTCAATAGTATAACTATTAAAAGAAATAAAAAGAAATGAGTGAAAAAAACAAAAAAAAAATGAATTATTAAAATTTTTTAATAAGATTTTTTTTTCTTCATACCATACAAATAATTCAATGAAAAAGGAATGGATGGATGAATTCGAGTTGACATTCGAAGTTTTGTAAGTTTAACAAAATTTACTCAATTTTTAATCGTCTAATTCACCAAAAAAGTGGGAGGAGGAAGAGGAGGAGAAAGAGAAGGAAAAGGAGGATGAGGGGAGAAAGAAGAAAAGGAATGAATGAAATGATACATTGTACTATGCTGGAATAGGGAGAGGAAAAGAAAAAAAGAAAATGGGTAAAATGATAAATGTACACAATATATATATAATCTTTTTGTGTAAGATATTTTGCAATTTATTTAAAATAAATAGCAAATTGTGTGATCTTTGTTGATTGATCAATGATCAATAATCACTAGAAATGGCTAATTTATTTAAACAAACTAAGTCTATTGAAATAATGATAAAGAAGTTTCAAAATGAAGATTAAGAAATATTTTGTATTATTTATTTATTTATTTATTTTTTTTCAAAAACAAATATTTCATTGACTAACTTGTACAAAAAGAAAGACAAACAATATTGCTATTACTAATTTTATTTTTCATTCTTCCCCAATCTTGTTTTTTTTTTAAAAAAAATTTCTTAGTATTCTCAATATTTCGAAATTTTAAAAATTCTTAATAAATCATATTTAGCATATTTAAAATAAGTACATATATATATATATATTGTATTGAGAAGAAAATAAGAAAACGAAAATTATAACGTTAAGAAGGTATATTAACTTTATAAAAAACAGAATTTTGATCGAAATATATTTAATTTATTAAAATTCTAAAAAGTAAAGAAAAGAGAGAAATATTCAAACTGATGAAAATTGTTTGTATGATCAAATACCAAATAAATACTTGTTTTGTATTATAATCGAAAAGATACTGTAAAGTAAACTTAGTAGAATTTGAAATATTCTGAATTTTAAGAAATTCAAAAAAGGAGGAAAAGAAATATTTTTAAGCAATTCAAAAAAAAGGAGCAAAAGAAATGTTTTTTTGGAAATTCAAAAAAAGGGATGAAAATGTTCAATACAAAGTATAAATCAATAAAAAATTTCTGCAAAAAAAAAGGAAGAAAAGATTTGCTCATTTGACAATTTTGACAACAAATCATTGGAAATACTTCTTTTTTTTCTCCTTTCATGGTGAATATTTTTATCATTTATTTAGATATTTAAACAATTTGAAATGGACCATTTTCTCCTTCCCGAAAAATTCTGTTTAATGAAAATTAATGAGTTACACGTAAGAAAATGAATTAGTCAGATGAAATTTGAAATTTGCGACAGGTAGAAAACAACCAGGTAGGAAATTGTTATACGTCAACATAAGACGGATGTATGTGTACCAAAAAAAAAATTTTTGTATATTATTACTATTGAAGGAAAGTAATGAAATTTTGTTTCAAAGAAAAAAATGGCCGTATTAAATTTTAATTAAACAATTAATTTCTGGGAATAATACTGGATTGTTTTCATGAATAACCAAACAATTTCATCCACTGTTTTGCAAACTTTAATATGTTTAAAAAAAAAGAGGAAAGATTCATCGAGAGGTCAATTTGTTGATGAGAGAAACTGAAGTGAAAATTTGAATTTCTTGTTTGAAGCAAAATTATTTGCTAGCATAATAAATGGTACACATGAAAAACGTTATTTCATTAGTTTCATATTGGGAATAGTTGTTGTTTACGGTATTCTTACTTTCCATTATTACATATCAGATATTTCATCAATAACAAAATTATAACTATTGATTATTGCATTAATCAATTTTCTCTTTTCGATTTAATATTTATTTGCTGATTAATTATTTAAGCATTGCATCATTGATTATATTAATTGGTCGTATTTATCAGGTTTGTGTTAGTGTATTAATTAATTGATTTTGAAATCGTTTATTGATGTGGCATAAAATTTGAAATTGTTTCAAAAAGCAAGCAATATGTCATTTTTATTTTTTCAACATTTAATATTTTTGAAAAATTGTTTTAGTGGAAATTCAATTAATAAGAAGAAAGGAAAGATTAAATCGGGAAAGATGAAAATTAGAAAAAAACAAAAAACAAAAATAAGATTAAACCAATAAACAAATATTACTCTTTTTATTGTGTTTTTGTTTTGAATGAAATCAAATGATTCTAGAATACGACTATTAGAAGTGTTTCATATTCAACTAAAAAATTAAAAAAATTTGAGATTTAATAATTTTTAAAAAATTAAAAATTTAAAAAAAATACAAAAAAAATTAGAAGAAAAATTTTTTAAAATTAAAAAAATCGTATTGTGTGATGCAAAAAGAGGAAAAGATCAGAGTGTATATCTGAATGATAAAGATTGATAGTATAGAATGTGAGGCAGATGCTATTAGGGTTATCAAACTTAATTTGAAACATTTAAACAATATGGTTATGTTAGTGCTTGAGAGTGGATGAGAAAATGTAAATTGTTGAAGAGATAATGGAGAATGATGAGAATTATGAGGAGTGAAACTGCGATAGAATGCAGAAATATTGAAATATTTCATAACTGATAGATAGTTTTTGAAAATGAAAAACTCCTTTAGGACGTTGTTTACATAAATTCAATAGCATTCCATTAAAAATGAAATTTGATGGC